AGCACAATTTGTAATAACTAAATCTTGGAAACTCAAATGCCCATCATCTGAGCATTGGATAAAAAAAGTGAGGATTTTTTATACTCAGCCATAAAGCAAGACAAATGGGGGGATTTTATAGGTAAATGGCTGCAACTTGAGACCATACTCATAAGTGAAATAACTCAGATCCACAAGTATAAACATCATATCATCTCATAAGTGTGAGAAAATGAATGAGTAAATAGGATATAAAATGTACAATAGGCATTGTGAATTGGAAAGACTGTTACTCAAAAGGGAAGACAAACTGATAGGGCAAAAAAGGAAAGGAAGAAAAGGAAAAAAAATGCATGTATACACAAGATAGTTAAGACAATTATACAGCTAGTTTCTCTTCCTTTATTGAAAAGTTAGTTTTGTGCTAATATTATTTGGAAGAGACATCATGCCTGTCTCTGGAATATTCTGGAATAATTACTACAAAGACAACAATATACAATGTATCAACTATTATAACTGTTCTCCTAACCAGTTTGGGACTCAGTTTCATTGTTATGTGTATTTTTTTTCTTTTTCTTTTTTTCCTCTATTAAAAAAAGTAAGTTTTGTTTCAACAGTCACAGCCAAGGCAGTCTTCACACATGACCAACTCCTTGTTCCATCACTTATACTGATAGCACATGTGTTTTGTTTTCTTGTACCTTCTTGAAGGGCACAGTTGACATCTTCATTTTCCTGTTGTCATTGTATGTCTTTGTGATGCTGCACCTGTCTGTCTGTTCACCTATCAGCTCACCAGCGTGCCCCCCAACTTTTTGCGTATTTCCTAGGGCACAAACATTTTGGTTCTCCTCTGCTGTAAATGATCTCCTGTGATCACCATTAGAAATCTGTGTAAGGACAGCAGAATAGGAAATACTTTTCGTTCAGCTCATGAAGTGTCATAATATACTTCTGAATATGGTTATTGGTGCACATAGAACGTTTTACTTGCATTTCAACTTTTGTGTATTTCACAGCATCTTTAAGCATTTCATCTGTCACAATGTCAACATTGAAAGGAAGTGCTGGCATTTTGTCCAATATATTTCACCTCTGTGAATATCTTCACTGTATTTTTTGACCTAGTTCTAATATTGGATCATTCCATTTGGTGGTGTGGTCATTTTGCCACATTTCAACTAGTCCAATATGGACTCACATCACAATTTTCTTCATCATCTTAATCAAGGAGGTCTGCATTTCCTGTAACTGTATCAGTCAATTCTTGGTCCACAGGAACTTTGGCGCTCATATGGCCAACATTAAAGTTGTCATCAACATCATGGTCAACACCACCACCATCATCATCATCACCACCACCACCATCCAGCTACACCACTCTTGTGTTATAAAAGCATGTATTTTACCATAATGGATCATCTTCACCCCATGCATGAGTAATCTGATGATTCACTTTTGACCTCCTCCAGAACTTACAAATCTGGTTTTTTATGTGCCATTGTAATGAACTGAGCTACTTCCACCAGAAAAATCAAAATAAAACTTTTTTTTTTTTAACAAATCCCAGAGTGATGTGGGTCTACTGGACCCTCTGTGATGCTCAGGTAAATATATATAAATCCAGTTAAAGCATAAAGGTGAGTTCAAATATCATTCTGACACCTTTATACACATACACTCTCTTTGCTGTTCATCATACCAAGTGAGTAAACACCAAAATTGCTTCCTGTATCCCTCAGAGAAATGTGCTGAGACATACAGCCAGCTACTATGATACAAAAGTACAAATTAGAGAAGTAAGGGATGGGTCCACTATACCCAGGTTTATGCCCTTAGGGATAAACTCCAGTAGGTAAAAATCCAGTAGGTGGAAGTCAAACACTAGTAAGTGTGATGTCATGACAGATTGCTATTCATAGGTCATGTTGTTTGCAAAGGAAGAAAAAGTATGACCAGAACTCACAGTGTTGATGGCAGCTCAGATTCATGGACACAGCCAGATTTCGTCCATATTTTAGGAATGTGTGCAGGTTTCACTAAGCAGCCTTCACCAGATTCCTTGTCAAATTTGTGCAATTCCAATCTACCCTTCCTCTTTATATTAAATTTCTGCATGTTACAAACTAATAAAAATAACAAAAGAGTAACCTTTTACTTTCAAAAGTGTTTTTTTTTTTCCTTATCTGGTGTCATATTCCAACGGTCTGCTCATCTGTGTTCTAATAATGATTAAGCCCAAATGATCTATCTACTCTAAAATACATCATTTTATTTGCAGAAAGTAGTAATTCACAGTAATAACATGGATAAGTTTTTATTCCTTTTCTTAAAAAACATAAAAAGCTTTTTAAAAACATTCTTGAAGGTAAACCTCCTTTGGGCCCATTCTGTTACACTGGTCTTCCATTCCTTCTGCCAGGGGTAGCTCAAAAACCTCAACAGCACAGGTATTCCAGAACACAAAGAAAATGTTTCTACATAGCTAGTTCTAAGCCTCCATAAACTCAGAACATAACAATGCCATTCTGCCTAAAAAAATTTAAAGAATCCTTTATTGTTATATATAAGAAAAAAAATCAGCTCGCATAAAGAAGGGTGGAAAAGAGAAAGGATTTAATTAAACCATGTCAACATTACATTTTTTAAAGACCAAGATCAATACAAGGTAATGTTTTCCAACTCCACGACAAGATAAAAAGGATGACACTCCTTTAATCTATTCCTAAGAATAAAGACTCTTGGGAGCATGTTTCTGCTTTGTCCAGGGTCACACAGTAATTAGGATAACCCTTTGCCTGGAGCTACCTACAGCTTGACCTAAACGTAAATGCAAGCCAAGACCCAGCTCTGTCCTTGACCCTTCTCCCATTTCCTCAGAAGCCAAGCAGAAACAGAACCTAAACGCTCAGCAACACTCACAGGTAATGACGGAAACAAAGGAGGGTGATACTGACACTCTCAAAACTTAAAAGTCAAAGTAATTTTCATTACTCCTAGCCAGACAGGAGATACAGTAGGACTATTTTTTTTTTAAACTAAGCATCTGCAATGCCCTAAATGTCTAAACCATACACAATTCTGACATAAGAAAGTTAAAAAACTCAACTTGGCTAGTATTTGGGTTTATTAGTTTGATTTTTGGATTTGTTGTTTCAATTCTGCAAGTATTTCCGTGCCTACCATGCATAAGAAAAGTATTCTATCTAACATAGGAGAAAACTAACACATCTCAAAAGTACTGGCTTTAATTCTGATTCCATACAATATCTTTAGAACATAATTTGACCTGCACTATAATCAGATAGTTATATTCTTAGTTATATCAAAGGTCAGTGATAAACTATACAGTGAATTCTTCCCATATAGAAAGAACCTGATGTGTCTTTCAAATATAATCCAATGATATTAAAAATTTGGGAATTATGTTAGCAGCATATGCTATTTACCTTTCATTTTTAAACCTATCCATTCAAACATACTTCCTATTTATAAATGAAAATTCATATATTTATACATGATTTATAAAGATATTCAAAGATAAGCATTCATACAGTCTTGTCTCTAAGGTATATTTGTTTTGGAAGCCAGAATATGAACATAAATTCACTGTTATTCATCCTTCTCTTAGAATCTGAATATTTTCTCACTATCACAAGGGCTAAATAGACAGAAAGACAATATTTGGTTCTTTCCATGACTGACAGGAACAAAATGAATAACATCAAAATCTCCAAGCCCTGACTGGGAGAGGGAGGCAAGGTAAACAAAGGTGTTTGCCGTATTGTATATTTGAAGCTTGCCAGCCTCTACACAGGACCACCGCACCACTTTTCAGCACAGAGAGCAGCAAGGGTTCTGCTACCCATTAAGAAGACAGAGGTCAGGAAGAGAGTTCTGGAAGCCCTATCTAATTCAGCACTTCCATCACTGCTCTCAAGACATTCACACACTTGGGTTCAAACTGCAACACAGCTTCACAGAACCATAAATCCTGATCCTGACTGTACCATTACCCAGTGACATGAACACAGGTAATTATGTATTTGATTTTAGTGTATTCTTCTAAAACAATAGAAATATTTACAGCTCTTTCAAAGATGTCAAGCTCTGAGGTTGGTGCAAAACAAGTACTACCTGGGCCTTCCTTAAGAAAGCTTGGAAGCCTCTCTGCTATCCAGATTTTAATCCAGTTTGAGTCTTAATCTAGAAACGTGGAATCAAATGGGATCACCAGGATAAGACACAACTCGATTGATGGTCCTACCGTGACTAGGGCTCCAAGAGCCTCCATCAGACCCCAGGGACTACTTCTACAATCTCCCTTCTCAGTGTAGGCTCAGGCAAATACTGCAGAAACACAGAATCCTCTTCTTGGCCATGTAACACTGTCCCTTAGCCCTGGGAGAAACTGGCTCACGTCTCAGTTAAGATGTCTTGATACTTTGGGGCAAAATCCTTAGTACTGTATACAGACATGCAATGGTTTCTCTTTTTGTTGTCAATCAGTCTCTATTTTCAACCATACATGTCCACTGGTTTATCAGTTTTCAGTGACAAGACCTTAGTTCAGGTTACAAACTCCTAAAACAGGTGCCTGCATTTACTTGACATTTTTTCCCATAACATCCAGCAAAGCAGTGATAATAAATATGATTTGGGGGAAGTAACTATGATAAAAGAGTTCTTAAAACTTACATTACACCATTTATATAAAATGAAAATGTATGCATATATGACAACCTGTTTTCAATCTGGCTATTCCATGTTCTCCAAAGGAAAATGAGTTCTGGAATCTTTTTAACTTAAGCTAGAAATAAGATATCCAAAGAAATCTTAAGCCATCCATTTATGATACATAGTCTAAATTTATTACCTTCCTTCTGCTAATAGCTTAGAAAATCAACTATCATATCTTTAGATGCTTGAATAATGAAAAGATAAATCCATTTTTTCAAAGATGTCCAAACATGAGATGTTTCTATGAGAAACCAAATTAAAACTATAACGTATCCTACCTCCTTGAAGTTATCAAAAGCTGATAAAATGATTTCATGCCCGCCTCTGACAAGACAAACGGCTGCCAAAAGCTCCAAGACAAGGGCTTTTGTTCTGTCAAAATAAGAAAAAAGAAAAACACAAATCAGGAAAGTGACATAGATCACCACTCCTTCTTGACAGGATGGGACCAACAGAATAATCTACCAACATGTATTTTTTAAACGTTTACTAACTAAGTACAGTTATGTTAACTGCCTTCTAAATATGTGATTTGTCTAAAACAAGGTGAAAGGCATGCTTTTCACCTCCAAAATTACAAATTACTCATGAATGAAAACTAATTCTAGAAGAATAATCTCCAGTCCAGCCACCAGGTAACATAAAGACTTCCTGAGGTAATCTGTGAAACACAAAGTAGCTAATTTTTTTTTTTTTTTTACAAAAGAGCCAAATGTAACAGGAAATTTAGGAACATATAGAAAAAAATACCTGTTAAACATTTTCTCTGGTTTTAAGAGTCAGAGTTATAATATGAAATTAATGTTTTACATCTCAAATCTCTTTACTCAGACATGGAGCCGTAAAAATTTCACATAACAAGTTACTATCATTACATCTTCCTATGCAGATCTGGAAGGAGTTGGCATTCAGCTATACGAATACAAAGCTGTAGTAATACAAGAGTATTTTCTCTGAGTCAAGAAAATAAACCTCTACCTCAAATATTTTTTGAAGGAGAACTTAAGAGATGCATTCTAAGTTTGCAAAAACAATATCACCAAAAAGAAACACCATTGTTTCTTCATCATAAAACCACTTTATTATTTCATCTTTATTCTGGAATAAAACTATTGCCAACCCCTTAACAAAGACAGTTTTGATATTCGACAGTGTCAATTGTCTTAAGAAAAATGAATAATGACTTCCTTAGAATGGAAAACAGAGACAAGAGAGCCTGAGTAATTAGGATTTTAGTAAAATAAGAAAAAAATCACAAAGTTCAACAGGTTTAGTTAGGGTAAGTTTGAAAGAAAAATATTCAATATATAAACAGGACTTTATATTACTTTCCAAATCAGAAAGGTCTAATTCAATAATTAGATTCTTTTTCCTGCAGTATCATGTACTGAACCCAAGGCCTCTTGCATGCTAAGTAAATGCTCAAGTGGTATCTCCAGCCTTTATTTTTTTAAGACAATCTTATTACATTGTCCAGGCTGACCTCAACCATGTGATCCTCCTTTCCAACCTTCCCAAGCAGCTAGAATTACACATCTGGGCCATCATGCCCAAATTAACAATCAGATTTTTTAGCTGAATTAAGTTTTTAGATATTTAGTTTCTAGAAAGGTACCTGATGAAAGGAAATTATATATTTAAAATGAAGAATAGCTCCCCAGAGTAGTGACTACTGGAATATTAGAATAACTTCTTAAAAAATGATGAAGACAAGACTTAAGGTAATCTATGAAGTAATATGTGGTGCTAGCCTTTACAGAACATAAACATAAATGAATATCTACATCCACACTTACTTGTATTTCTTTCCTGTTTGGTAACTAAAGCTATAGACATAAAGGCAGTGAGTAAATGTGGATAAGGGACAGTGGTAACTCAGTTAAATGCAGATTCACTCTCTGCTTTCCTAGTTTGACATCACGAAGGAAGCTTACCTGGGATTCTTGTTGTTCAAGCTTAGAGCAATCTCATTGACAGCATGTGGATGAGACATGACCATGTTGAAACCATACTAAAATACAGTAGGAAAGAAAAAAAAGAAGCATCAGGAGACTGTGCCAATGCTTACTAAAAAACATAACCCTGAAGTTTCTACCTCATGTAACTTAAGTGTTATAAATGCAAATGTTCTTAACATACCGCTGTCAGAACATACTTCTTTATCAAAAATTCCAGGAAGGATGCTATTATCAAAAGATCCTCTTCCCATTATTTAAGAATGAGCTACATATTTTATTTTATTAAAATAGTGAAAATACCCTCAGTTTTGTGTGTCAACTCTGCTTGCTCATTAAATTAATCTAAAGACTACACAAAGCACTGACTGACTTTCCAAGATCCACTCCAGGTCCACTGACTTTGTATCCCAATGACAGAATCCCAAAACCTGAGTTTTTTTAAGCTTCCAGGGTCATTCTACTATGCAACAGCCACTGTATCTCTCGCCTTCTCTGGGAAATGGCTCTCAGGACCAAAGGGATAGGAAAAAGCCTCACCATTCTATACAGTGAAGAAAGCTATCAACAAGCTTCACACATCTTGATTTTGCTGAGCTAAAGAATACTGTCTCTGGTAATCTCATCTCCAGTTTACTTAGGAACTAACTTCCTTACACTGAAAAAATATATGCAGTCAGAAAAAGCTTGTCAAAGCTCCTAACATGCAGATAGACATGCAGCTTACCTCCTACCAAAGATACTCTTTCCATGCTCCAATCTAATGCCAACACCTACATTTGAGTCCTTCATTTCATTCCCTTTCACCTACTTAGTAACAAAACATACACAGAAATTCCTTTAACTCCCATCATTCTTCCTTCTCTATTGATTCATTGGCATTAGCATAAAAACAGGACACATGTTCTTACAAAACCCTCTTTTAACCCCACAAACAATGTCTAGATGTTACCTCTCACTTTTCTCTGTTGTTCTCAGCAAAATGTCTCCAGAGCCTCTGGGTCCTTTCTTCCCCAAGTGTTTCACAGTTCATCTCCACCATAACAATGAAATCCTCTTTACAAGACCACCAATGATCTGCATCTTGCTAAACCCAATGGCCGCCCTTCACTTCTTGACTGATGTGACTCATTGGCAGCATCTGAAGGAGCTGACTGCATCTCCTTGAAACATGCCCTTTACTTCCCTGGCCACACCTCAGGTTTTCTAGAAAGGCCTTCCTCATTCCTCCAATATTTAAACCAAGTATCTTAGGGTTCAAATTGTTAACCTCTTCACTAGCATCTACTCCTGTTGATCTCACTCACTTTACTACTTTCCTATAACATCTAATGCTAATAATTATTCTCAAATTTATAATTTTTTTTTGCCTTAAAACCCACTTTGGCATATCCAACTACCTATTTAAGATCATCACTTCAATGTTTAACAGTATCTCAAAGTTAAAATCCTCAAGAAAATTCCTAACAATCTCACACTATTGATCCTGCGTATTCCCCATCTTAGTAAATGCCAACTCAGTCTTGCAAGTGCCCAGGAAGGAAAACCTGGTGCCATCCTTCACCCCTGGCCTCCTCCCTCACTACAAACCCAACACTGCTGCCATTACCACCAAAAGAAAACCAAGACATGACCACCTCTCTTCATCTCTACTCCTGTAACCCCGGTTCATACCACTAGCAGAGCTCCCCTACAGCACTACCAACAGCCTCCTAAAAACAATCTACCTCCTCTCACCTTTGCACTGCATGTCAATCTTAAATCCAGAAGCCAGAGATCACATTAAACACAAGTGTCACCTCATGTCCTTGAACCATGATTACCTTTTCACTTACAACAAAGCCAAGGTTCCTTCACCGACCCATAAATTCCCAAGTAATCAGGCCCCCTGAAGCCCAAGAAGAGGCTTCTTGCCTCTTCATCTTCTTCTGTTCACTCTAATCCAACCTGGCCTTCCTTCTGTTCCTTGCAGAAACAAGGCTTATTCCTGCCTCAGTGCCCTGGCACCTGCCCTTCTTTCTGTCTTCTCTAATATCCTTTCTTTTCTTCTTGGATTCAAGTTGTTACACATGTTATTTTCTCAGTGACACTTTCCAAGCTGAACTACTTAAAACTGCAGGCACATTTTTGGTACTTCCTCTCTTTCTGGATTGTTTTCTATAGCATCTGGTATAAGGGTTCCCTGGATTCAAAGCCTTCCTGAGTTCAAATCTTGACTCTACCACTTATTAGCTACATGATTTGGGGAAAATTATCTAATTTCTCTGTGTCTTAGTTTCCTCATAAGTAAAAATGGAGAGGATAATAAAACCAATCTCACAGAGATCTTACAAGGGTTTTATGTTCATAGGTTTAAAAGCACTAGAACTCTGAAAAGTTTCTGTAGTTAGCTTTTTTTCTATTTCATCATTATTATTATTATCTGGAATAGTACGCAGTTTACCAATTTATTTGACTGTCATCTGTTCAGCCTCTCTGGAAAATTCCCCGAGTTAATTCAGACTTTTTTGAAGAACTAGAAGCATACACACACCTGATAATTCATGATGGCACGTAAACACATGATGCAGACGTGAACATCATCCTTCTTACTCACTAATCTGGAATTTTTCAGGGTTCTTCTACTTGGCAAAGTACTATATCTACAATAAAACAGAAACTTTTACAAAGTGACAGATTACTTTCTTAGCATAGGTACGTACACACAATTGAAAAAAAGGACAGTGTTCTCTACCTTTCCCACAAACACCGCAAGGTTTGCAGATCAAAACTACCACCAACAAACCCATTACCACAAAGCTATTTCCATAGACTGCGAGGTCCCGTGATTTTGTCATCATCTTTTCAGGTCAGGTACCCAGAGGGAATGAAATTCAACCCAACTCCCAGCATTTAACAATCAGATGTACAAGAGACTAGTAGCAATCAGGACTCCTATTCAAGTAAGGGTGAGACCGCTCACACCTACACTTCCAACCATGTGACTTGACTGTAACAGTACATTTTGCATATCATTCTCAGGATCTCTACTTTGGGGTTTAAACTGAAACAGGATCATACATTACTACTTTGATTTTACTCCGTAATATTAGAACCTGAAGCCTTAATGTCTCATCTCTCACCCAAAGCCTGGTCAGACAAATGAAATCTAGAGGGAAAAATGGCAATAAGGTAAAGGGATAAAACGTTTCAATGTTAGAATAAATTGTACAGACCATCCAATGCTAAGCCTTTGTTTACCTTTCTGGAGATTTATCATAGCTTACAAAGAGTAACTGACAATGTACCATGTTCACAGAGAAAAGAAAACATCCAGTTTCAATATGAATTTTATTGCTTCAAACAGAAAACACAGATAGGTCTTCTGTGCAACAAGACTAAAAAAAAAAAAATAGATTTCAAACACTGCCAACTAAAATCTTGTAAGGAATGTACCACAAAATCACCTATAGCTTTTGAATTGAAAGCATTAAAAATTTTAAAGGAAAATATGATCAATAGTAACAGCTTTTAAAAGTCCCAAAGGTGTAGGATAGAAGTTGAAAACTGAACTGACAAGTTTATCTCAAACCGTTCATCGGGGCAGCTTTTTTGAGAGGTCGAGGGCTCTCAGTTGGCAAAGCACTTGAGAGTATACTCAAGATCCTGGTAGAGAACTGGTGGAGAGGGCGGGGTAGAGGGAGGAGCAGAGCAGGTGAGCAAGGACAGGGAGGGAAATGAGAACTAATGGAAACAAATTTCAGCAATGGAAGTTGGTCTCATTTAGTTCCGAATGCAAAAACAAAAGCAGTTGATATTTAACTAACAAATTCTGATTTTAATGGTAACTCGCCCAAAATGTGTTGTTTCGCTAAAATTCCAGGCTGAGTGTAGCTGCTGACATACTTCTGGAGGTCACTGCAACCTCAGAGGACACCCTCCGTCTGACCTAAGCATACATGGTCTTCTCAGGCTACACCTGAGTTCTTCCGCTCCCTCTGCCTTTCTTATGTTCAGTTTTAGATTTAATGGAATCACTTATTAACTACATGACTATATTAGAGACATAATTTTCATTTCTAACTGAAAGCATCTAAGTTTTCAAAAGAAGAAAAAGTGATGTCAGGAATCACTTACATTTGCTAAATTACACTTATACACAGTGATGACTGCAGAAGGACAACACTGATCAAGGCAAACTATTTGTTATGGAAGATGAGACACAATTCCTTATTTCCACTCTACTTCCAAATAAATTTTAATTATTGTAGTAAACAAATCTGCCTTACGTATTTGTTTCCTAAAAGGTATAAAATAAAACAGCACACCCCTTTTTTTTCCTTTTGTTTGTTCTGTATTTATTGACCCAGTTCTCGACCCACTACAAATTCTCTAAGAAGTCAACATGATTGCCATATTTTGCAATGTAGAAACCAACAAAAATTAATTACAGTGAAGTTGCGCATGCCATACTGTTAACACAAAAGGCTTTTATATGTTGTAGAAGATGACTAATTTCAATTATATTTTTCTAGATCAACATTTAAAATACATTCAGGCGGGGAAGGTAATTCAGTGGTAGAGCATTTGCATACCATGTCCACAGCTCTAGCACTGCAAAACGTAATAAATAAAATATATGTGGTACACCACATGCAGTTATTCATATTGCAAAAGTTTAGAAAATATATAAAATATGTTAACAAATAAAAGCAATGAGCATTTTATTTATTAATGATACAGTATACTCAAAAGTAACACAGCTAAACTTTTAATGTATGGCATTGATTTAAAAACTGCCTTCTTTACATTTTGGTTTATGCAAAAATTGAGGAAAAACAAAAGGCACGTGTGAACTTGTACATTTAAAATTACATCGTTACAAGTTCTAAAAACCCAAACCCATAGTCATTCACAACAAAATCATAGATAGCACTGATAACCAAATGAGAAACTGTAAACTTTTCACACAGAAAAAAAAAATGATGTCCAAAGTTGTTACATTCATTCACAAGGCAAAGGAAAAAAGGGTGGGATGAGCCCACACTGGACTTCAAATCCTCAGTGAGACTTAGGGCAACTTCTTGCTACAAACTGCTTCTCAAAGCCCTCCAATCTGTTGGGTTATCAGTTGGTTGTGAAACAGCTACGGCCTACAGCCATCTGTGCAAGCTGCTTCCTTTCCTGTCAAACACTGCTATATCCTGTCATCCTAACAGAATTTACTCCAGTGCATATAGTTATCCTTTCTTGCCCTACATTATTATTACACTGGGTAGCACTATGGCTTGCTTTGCCCCAAACTGCAGAACATGGGATCTCCTGCAGAACACAATGGCCCATTCATCTACTTGATAAGCAAGTTTTCTTTTTAAAATCTTAATCTTTTATGTCACTCATCTGTAAAGTAAGAATGTACTTACATGAGAAATGAGAAATTTTCTCTATATTTTGGAGTTCTCCTTATAAAAGAATTTGTTCCTATTAAATAAAGGCACCCTGGAAAATGTCATAATTCTTTACCTCTGAAAATACAAAGTTTTTTCAAGGGACTCAATTTCAGTTTAAGATCATTATATATCTGTAAGCATAGATTTTAGATAGTATCTGAATCTATTCTTTAGAAAGTATCTAGATAGTATCTAGTAAGATACTAGTATCTAGCATCTAGATAGTATCTAGAAAGTGTCTAGATAGTATCTGAATCTATTCCTTAGAAAGCACATTTTATGAAATTTTACTATATTTGTAATTATATATAATCTGTATCCTTTATTGAGTAAATTGTTACCTTTTTTTTTTTTTTTGGAGGAGAAAGACAAACTTTAAATTCTACTCTAAAGTATGACACTCATATTGTTTAATAAACACTACTGTGGAGATGATCTTAGTAGATTCCCCCAAACTGAACATAAAATCCTAGTGGAACAGAATGGGTCACTGTACCAGTAGAAGAACATCTGCACAAGGTTAACTAGCTAGAGTACAAGTATATGTGCTGCCAAAGTGAGCACATATACTAAAATTGAAATCATACAGAGAAAATTAGCATGGCCCCTACGCAAGAGGACATGCAAATTCATGGAGCAACAGAAACTGGTACCAGGAGTGGGGAGTGAAAGAGCTGTGCTGGTAGATTGAGGATTCTATGCTGGAACCGAGAAGCCACACTCAAAGCAAAGACCAGGGCTGTCCTGAAAGGTACCACAGGCATCCTTAGCCACATGGAGGCCCCAAGCTCCTCTGACAATTAAGTACAATCAAGTACATGCTAGGAAGCCAGCGTGACGAGTTCATCCTGGAGATTAGGCAGCACACACCTTCCCCTCCAGGGCCAGGAAGCAATGCTCCATGTAAAGACCAGAGCTTCTTCAGAAGAACCAATGGCTCAAACAGCAACACATAGGAGAATTCACAATGCCTTTCTTCTTCTTCTCCACATCTCTATTTATTCTGGCAACTTTCCTCGGGTGAAACATCTACACTCAGCACCATGGTGATTTAATCCCGTTGGCATTAAGTTGACCACCAGTTTCCAATCTGTAACAGTACATGACCTCAGACGCTCTCCGCCAGCTACAGAAAATCAACCTAAATCTCATTTTAACCTCAGTTTTATGAAGCACCTACTGTTGATGCTAAACTCTCCAAAGTGTCAAAGAAAAATGAAAGACAGACATTGCTTCTATCCCCAAGGGGCTACCATGGAATCTAGGAAACAACATGTAGTGAGGAGTGTGCTCTTTAGCCCCAACCTGGCCATCTCACCGCATCTATAAATGTGATGCACATTAGAGCATGTTAAGTGAACTCAGTATACATAACATAATGGAACAATAGTAATTACACCTTATCAAAAGAGAACACTTCTGCAAAGCTTTATACCCTTCAGATAGACAACCTCTTCTTAACCAGGTCTCACTCTGGACAACCATATTTAGAGATATCTAAGTTTTCTGTCTGTTTTTTTCTGGGTCTTTTTGAAACAGGGTCTTGCTATGCAGTTTAGGCTAGCCTTAAGTTCATTTTGTAGCCCAGGCTAGTCTTGAACTTACAACAATCCTCCTGCCTCAGCTTCCTTAGTACTGGGATTACAGGCATGTGCCATCACACCTGGCTTACAAGTTGTTTTTAAATGGAGCTCTCCACCATTATATACAGAAGGAATAGAGAATTATGAGACAAGTATCATAAAGCTGAACATAATTAAGTGTGAAACATTACCAGTACAGATTTAAAATATCTGTTTTGTGGTTTTTTCAATGGTAGATTTAGAAGACACTTTCATATGTAATCTTTTTCATGTTTATTTTTTTCTATATTTTTCAATTTTACATAACAATGTGTTGCTTTCTAAAAGACAAAAAAAGTTGTATATTTAAAAGTTGCTTTTGGGGCTGGGGATTTAGCTCAGTGGCCTAAGCACCTGCCTGGCAAGTGTAAGGTCATGAGTTCAATTCCAGTACCAACAACAACAAAAAAAAGCTGCTTTTGATGCTTTAGGTTTGAATGCACCTTAAGACAGCTAGTTAACCTTGTGCAGGTGTTCTTCTACTGGTACAGTGACCCATTCTGTTCCACTAGGATTGACTAGATACTACAATTATAATACCCCCCCCCCAGTACCCTACAAAATGTCTTGGAGACCTCTTTGGGTGGATCATTATAGAAAATGAGTAATCCTTTTCCCTGGCACTGTAAAAGCCTGCTGATGTCGCTAATACTGAGAATGGTGATTAGTTTCCATTAAAAAAAAAAAAAAGATGAGGGGCTGGGGATTTAGTTCAGCGGCATAAGCGCCTGCCTTGCAAGCAGGCAGTCATGAGTTTAATCCCTGGTACCGATAAAAACGAAAAAGACAAAAAAAAAAATAAAAAATAAAAAATAAAAGATGAAGTAGCTAATTAGTGCCACAAAACTAGAAAGTATATGAGTCACAGGCAATTCTAGAATATCAGAGCAGTAATCTGTCATCAATTAAGAATTCAAAGAGTTCAAAAGAAGAGTTATAACACCAAGTAGTAAAGGTACAGAATACTAGTTTATAATCAGTCTAACATAAGTAAATATGATTCAGTGCATTATCTTTGAAAGACTACGTGGGGCCTCCTGCATCTGGTTCAGAGTCACAGTCCTTTAGGCTGAATTATCTTCCCCCTTTATAAGTAGTGATCATCCTAGTTTACATATTTGAATAAACTTTCCACAAAGGTTCTATTTAAGGGATTAAGGTTATGGCTCAGAAGAAGGCATGGATGGCCTCTGTGGTAAACTAATCTTTAGCATGTTACTTCTGCTACAGAATTACTCAAAGTGACACTGATTACTATATTTTCTTCCTGAAGCTATTGTAAAACCTCATTTAAAACAGAGACTATTTGAGCAGAGCCAAATTGGAAATTGTCCTTCCAATTCATTATGATAATTTATAAAAGGTTCTAATCACAAGCAACATCAGTCTCTCAATGTCCCCTGTGGATAACTGAGGCAACTGATCTCCATTTAGTCCTGTCCCATGTAATAAGTCTTGCCTGATCCCAGACTCTGTCAGCAGCTAATGGTGCACGCTGCATTCACTGAAATCTGAAATTGGCTTCTGCGACAATGTGCTCCCCTAGGTCTGCCTTCTCTGTACCAACAGTTCTCACAACTTAATGCCAGTGAATGAGGACAGGGAGGCTGGGGTGGAGGGAAAAGGGGGAGGAGCTCCTACTCAAGTTTGCAGCCTCTGATTTTCCCTAAGATTGCAGCTCTTGGTTTTTAAGATTCTAACCTACAAGAGGAAGACAGCACAATGGCACAAACTTTCAATTCTAACTAATACTCAGTTGGTTTTCCTAAATGGATATTCTAATGATCGCCTCAAGACTTGAATTTCTTAAAAAGTTTATTTGTAAAATTATTTTCATTTCTTTATCATTTTTATGGATGTGAGCACATTCTGAGGCCCTTCCTCAACATTTTTATGAGCACCCTATTATAACATACATTTAGAGACCATTTCCTGTCTACCTGTTCACTCTAAAATGCAATAATGCTTTCACATTGATTAGAGCCATTTGAAAAAATATTGGACCATCTAGGTCTTCTCTGATACCCTGGGGCAGGTTTCTTAGTATTTAAGTACTGGCAAGAAATTTCCTGGATTCCAAAGAACAGGGAATGAGACACTGATAGAAGGATTGTGACTCAATCCGTGGACCACTTACACCGATTATCTAATCCTATCCTGGGAGATGTTCTGCTCTCAGACTGGGAAGCAGGCCTTTGGGACTGCAGAAGTCTGCACACAGAAGGGTTTTCCACAGACACAAAATAGCCCTGGATCTTATTTTTAGAACTGCTTCCATTTGTAGGAAAAATAACAGAGAAAAGAGATTTAGGGGTGTTTCTATAGGGAAACTAATGACATCAGATTTCTCAGGCTTTCTTCTCTATCTAGAATTGTCTGCTCTTCTCTCAAATATTAAACTAAAACTGTTGGGTTACTCTAGAATTCAACACAAGATCCTATCTTGGAGGAGCTAACAATAAGAATTCTAAAACTCTTATGAATATGAAAAAAGATTATAAACTGATTCAAGGTCATGAACAAACAGAAATTACTCAGAACATTTGTCTTAGATTTATGCCTATCTCAACATGCACCAGTAGTTACATGTATGTAAAGTAATAACAAATGAAATTACAAGTCAATGCTAATGACACTGACAGAATATTTCGTGTTTAGTACTACAGTGACACTTGCAACCTGCACAACTTACTTCATGCTAGACATGAAATCTGCCAAATCCACCAATCTGTGCAGTGCAGGCAGCACATGCTATACAGAAAAGAATGCTACTTTGAACTTTGCTTTAAAAGTCCTTTGGAGAAACTGGTTATTGAGCTTATACAGAGCCAGGCAAAACCTCAATATCTGATTTATGATGGCAGAAAGAGCGTGGCTCCGGCAAAGATACTCAGAGAGATAGCTTTCTTGGAGTTTCTTAACTACATTAGATACACAGGAATTTCTCTTGCCAGGTACATTTCAAAGCCTGAATTATACATAACACTCATTAGAGTTCTGGTTATAGTCATGCTTTCAGTCCTTATACTGCTACCATCCCAAAGATAGTGCCTCATGGTTAGGAATACAATTTAATGAGAGATACACTCAAGCATCAGTGGTAAGTAATGTGCCTCTAATAATCCTAGGAGTGCAGGAGAAAGACAAGAAGAGACATAGTGGATTGGCTCAGAATTTATATTTATAAAGCCTCAAACACTTAGCAATCATCAGAATGAAAGCCACCTAGTGGCACCTAGTGGTGCCCTGATTTAAGTCTGAACATCCATTATCTCAGCAAATACACCTATCTGTAGACATTTAGACATACTCTAGTATGTAGGTGTACCTCTCTTTCTCTCTCTGTGTGTGTCTCTCTCTCTCTGTCTCTGTCTCTCTCTCTCTCTTTCTCTGTGTATCTCTCTCTGTCTCTGTCTCTCTCCATGTTTCTGTTATCGAAAAAGTGCTTCCTGAACTGACCAAATCAAGCCCTCCAAGAATCTAGCCAAAAGGTTTTCTAAACACTGTCTATGAAACGTCCACGCCAACATTTATGAGATTCAGAATATTTAAATCTCACTGATAAGAAAAGAAAGTTTAAAAAAGGTATAATTTTTCTTATTACATAAAACAGTTTAAAATAGTATATCAAGATATTAAGATACCAAACTAATAGCTACCTATAAACAAAGAAAAGGAATCAGAAACCCCTTGGAAAGAATTCAACACAACCAGAATGCAACACCAATGGGGCATGTCATGCGATCTGGACTGCAGAGCTGCTCGAGTCATTTACGGTTCCAAGGTCTGGGCTAATAGTAATTTAACCAAGATTTTGGGTTTTTGGTTTCCTCTCTTCTACCCTTCAGACATGACATCACTTCGGCGTATTTTTTCTATCAATTAAACTCATAAAATATAGGATTCTAAAAAAAAAAAAAAAGAGCCAAGTATTTTCTGTCCTTATAGCCAAAAGAAACAGAGCTGAAATAGTTCAATTCAGCTCAAAGTAGAATGGGTGGGCAGAGAAAAAGAGAGATACACAGACAC